AAAATTAAAAAAGATAAAAATTGAAAATATATTTTTAAAAAATTTTTAAATTTTTTTGGGCGTGGGGGTTGCAGGGATGATGGTGGGGTAAAAAAAATAAAAGATTGAAGTTAAAAATATTTTTTAAAAACAAGTTTTAATTTTTTTTGTGGGGGGTGGAGGGTGGGGGGTTGTGGGTAGGGACAAAATAAATTCATTTTTTTAACAAAAAAAATATTAATTTGAAGTTGGAAGAGAATTTTTGGAAAATGTTCTCTTTAATTTTGAAGGGAAGTCATTTTCCTTAAATTTGAAGAAAATGAGTTGATTTAGAAAACATTTTTTAAAACATTTAACCCAACGAAGCATGAGAAAATTAAAAAATATTTTTCCGAAAAATGTTTTCCTTCCTACCAAACACACCCTAAGTGCATAAAATGTTTTGGGCTGATGTAAAATTTGTTTAAACATCGTACATTCATCTTGTCGTTCGCTTTCATGCCATTCGCTTCATTTCTTACGACGGAAATAGTTATATATCCTATAAAATCAAATATAAGAATACCCTTAAAGCAAATGACTCTTTGTTTAAATACAAGAAACACCAATTATGAAAAGACAAAAAAGATTATCTTACCAACATGGATAAGCAAAACATCACACTTTAATTCAAAGTGATATTTAAGTAATTAAACTAGATTCCTGAGTTTCCCATTATGACGAGATACTGGTACCAAAAAGTTACTCAATATAGAAAGTGACATTCATTTTAAATGGACTAAAATGAAAGTAAAACACATAAATTAATTCTCGCTTCAGGCCCTCTGGAAGTGCCACTCTCGTCTGCATTGTTTGAACTGCTAATAGTATTAGTTCCAAGAACCTTGGGGGATTTAGTACTAAAATTAAATTGTACATTTCTCTATTTCAAAATACGGCATGTACCACCACTGAATACATCATTAATATAAGTTAGCCGGATCCATTATTGAAATTTTAGTATAATATTTGGGTTAAATTAGAAGAGTATGAAATGATTAGTTGGAAACTTTTTGAGTCTTTTAGTTTGAGGTGACATTGCAGCATAGTTGTTTAGCCGTCTTTCCTATTACGTATTGCACTGTCTTTAGTGGAAAATAGATTGTTTTAAACTCACCTCATAATTATGATACTATAAGTGTACAACCAGAATACTCTATGAAGAGATTTTTTACTCTTTCAAAGGGATTGTGGGTTACTGTACTATATCGGAAATTGACAATGTTAGAAGTGTAATGAACTCCAGCTTTTTGTGGAAATCTTTCATCCACCAATCTAGCTTTGAACCTTTCCACAATTCCAATCGAACTTATGTTTGATTTTATACACCTATTTGCATCCAATAACAAATTGGCATGTTGGTAAAGGAACCAGATCCTATATATCATTTGCATACAGTGCTTCGAACTCTTGTGTCATTGCCATTTTCTATGCAAGATTTTGCTTCCTCATAACAAGAAGTTTCTAATTTATGTGAGACTGCCTTTACCAACTATTGATTATTCCTTTGAGTTCTAATGCTAAACAATGGACATATATAAAATTGAATTGGAAACTAGGTACAAGTAACACTTTATGTGAAGTTAAGACTGGATTCAAAAAGACATATCCAATTTCATTTACTTTGGTGAGGTGATTAGAAAAGGATATATATGGTAGTGGTTTTAGGACAGTTTCATCATAGGTCATATGGTGTGATACTCTTGATTCTATGATCTAAGATCCAGCAGTCAATACATGACAAATTACCTATCTCAGTCATTGAAGAATAACAAGCAAGTATACATGTCAGGTTCACAGCTCCACTTAACACGCATGAATTTTCATTGTCTTTGTTTCCACCCTGAAGGTTCCCAAAGAGGTTGAGAAGCTCCTCATGTAGACCTTTAGATAGATTCAGTTGCATTTCTCTCCCCAACTCAAGATTTTCCTCCCGACCCTGATTGTTTCCTTTTAAGATGTGTATGCATTTTTTTTTGCAAAGGTAGAACCCTGTCCTTTGAGAAATCTGGAGTTGGATGTATAGACATAAAGTGTATAACATATTTGTCTTTGGTGTGTCCAGATCTTTTGCTATAGTCACAAAACAAGTGTGCATAGGCATAACTAGTACTAGAACAACCTCGAAAGCAATTGTTGTTGAAATTTCGGAGTTATCTGGATCTCCTTGATATAAAATGTAGCTTGTATTGAAATCTCTACTGGTGTGGGGTGATGCAGATGCACTCAGTGATGTGGACTCCAAATCAAGCTGTGATAGGATAGCCAAAGTTTGTGTCGTACTTGGAAAAATTGTCATCATCAGTATATTTCCCCTCATAGTCTACATCTCATTCAATACCATTTGGAAGTTTATGATCCATTTATTGTATTCAACCTTGTGTATCTTTGTTATTCTACCACATGTACATACACAGATGCATTAAGAAGTAGTGTTGATTGTGTTCATCGCTTCCCTCAACCTCTTCTTTTTTTGTTTAATATCCAATAATAGTTAGAGTTCCTTGGTGCTATTTACTTTTGAAGTTGGTACAGTTTGTAACGACTAGTATTATCATATCGATCCTCTAAATCCTTCCAAAGTTCCTAGCATTTCTCACATGTTGGAATCCATCTCTTGATAAAAATTAATCTCAAAACTCTTAAATATAATTTAGAATCCAAGAGGGAACCATCTCATCACATTTCTCGAAATGTGTAAATCTTGGATTAGATGAGTCTAGCTTCACCATCTTCTTTTAATAAAACCAGTTATGCTTTTCACTTACGCGACTCGAAGAATTGCTCGTCTACAGATCCATTCACTTACACAGCTCTAAGAATTGCTCGTCTTAAGGATTTGTACCTATTTCCATAAAAAATAACTAGCTGGTAACAATGTTGAACATGCATTCTCTCATGGATATAGGTAAAATGGTCTAGTAGTATCCATCCTGACAGTGGTTATGTTGTTATCAGGTTGAAGATTAGTCATATTTGAACAATTTTCAATACAGATGAAATCGATGGAAGAAGAAGGAAATTATGATAATGTTTGATCGCACAAACTGAATGGAGATCCAAAATGTTTAAAACAAGGCAACAGTAACTCAAAATGAACTGAATCAAATCCAAATGAAGAACACAGAGAGAAGAAGAAACTTCGCAGCCCTATGCGCTATACCATGAAAAAATTGGAAAGAAATGTGCTGGAATTAGCTCGAGTTCTCAAATAATGGAGCTCGAACTCAGAGAGAAGAAGAAGTAGAAGAAACTTCTAGAAGGAAAGATTGAAAGCTGAGTATTGCATTTTACTAACTAAATCAATAAGCATTACATTAGTGTGTATACAAATAAGGTTAGCTAATTAATAATAGTCTAACTTTAAACATAGCCAACTTTCTAATTTTAACCATCCTCACTGTACTCACTAATTTTATAAAAAAAATACAGCGCTTAATAATGTAAATGCTCTACTTTTGGGTTTTATAGTGATGTTATTTCATCTTTATGCATCTTTTTCTCAAACAAAGTGTTATGGTTGATAATATTTATATGAAAGGGATATCATACGTATAATTTAACATGATAAAACTAGCTTTAAAGTAAAAGATTTTCCAAAACATATACATAATGAAATAAATTTTCATGTCACCTGCTGATGTATATTGTTAACGTCTCAGTATGTGTAGGTTTGACAATTAAAATGTGTATAAAATAATATAGTAGCTGAGCATCGAGTGAGACAAGAATTAAATTAAGTATAGTCTGATCATGACCATAAAAATAGCGCTTAATAATGTAAAGGCTCAACTTTTGGGTTTTATAGTGACGTTCTTTCATCTTTATGCATCTTTTGCTCAAACAAAGTGTTATGGTTGATGATATTGATACGAAAAGGATATCATACGTATAATTTAACATGATAAAACTAGCTTTAAAGTCAACGATTTTCCAAAACATATACATAATGAAATAAATGGTCATGTCACCTGCTGATGTATATTGTTAACGTCTCAGTATGTGTAGGTTTGACAATTAAAATGTGTATAAAATAATATAGGAGCTGAACATCGAGTGAGACAAGAATTAAATTAAGTATAGTATGATCATGACCATAAAACTAGAGTAATATATTTTCTTTCATAATCCTCATTAAACTGAAAGACAACATATTTGTGATGTAACAGAATTTGGGAAAAACTGACCAACAAGGGAAAGTAACTTTGGTTTCCTGAGAGAAAATCTAATTGCTAAAGAATTTGGTGATATTAAAAGTTTGATGTCGTACAACTTGTTGAGAAAAAATGTGTATTTTTGATGAAATTGATAAATGGAGTTTATATGAAGGAAAACACATATAATTGGGGCCAGTAGAGTCCCAACTAACTGTAGTTGTTATTGAAGAAAATTGAATTCTTCAAAAATAGAAGATGTTGAAATTATATATTAATTGAATTATTGAAGAGTTAAGTTACTCTTTAACTTCAAATGGCACATAATTAGCCACCAGAAACTTTGAAGGGAATCTTACAAAAACTACACTAACTTGCAAGTAGACATATACTAGAAGTGTTTAGAAAGGAGTTGACAACAAAAATCTAAGAATAAGAGATATACCAAACATAAATTGAAGTTAAACTTCAGCTTGCATCGACACAGTTGACACATAAGTGAATCTAATACCATTTGTAATAGTCAAATCCACATATGATATTGTTCTATTTGAGCGTAAAATCACACAACTTCAAAACGCACTATTAAAGTATAATATCACCTTACTTATATACTTAATATCCATCTTGTGTTCTGACAATGTGATACTTCTTATCCTATGTTTGGGGGTAACACATAAAACCTCTTTTCTAATTTCCGATAGAAAAATAAATCACTTTTTATTCTTGAATACTTTATTCTTATAAATGATGCACTAAAATATATGAACAAGTGATTAAAAATAAAAGAAACAAACTTGATAGTTGGTCATACAGACCTAGAGTCTATATAAAATAGAATAATTTATCTGCAAGATGGTAAATTTTGCGCATTTTGATACACATTTACATTGGAGAATAGTCCTCAACCAGTATAAGCACATTCAACACAAACTAAACAACTAGTTCAAACATAAATATCATGCATATTGTTTTTTCACCAACATAACAACTAATTGAAATCAAATAAAGACTCTGCCTACTGTTTTTCAAGTAATAATAGACTGCATATAAATTAAATAAGGATTCAAATGGCTATTTTATCTCCAAAGAAAGAAAATTTGACCTCCTTTTCAAAATTAATCAGAGTTTTTGATCAAAGAGCTTCTTCTTCTTCTTCTTCTTCTTCCTCTTCCTCTTCCTCTTCCGCCTCCTCTTCCTCTTCCTCTTCCTCTTCATTCGCTATTTCATTACGATATCCTCCATATTGTTGCTGCTCGTAGAGCAAATTCATTTGCCTACTAAACTGAAAAATCTCACATGTCATTCCAAAATGTAAGGTTTTACAATTGACACAGAAAAGGTTCCAACATTTAGGACATGCCCTAATTGGATATCCCTGTTGATCATCAATCAATTTACCCATACAATCCATATAAGGGCAATCAATAACTTCAAGTGAAGCCAAAGCTTTCATTAGTCGACTCACATCTCTTACTCGAATAAGAAAATCAATCGGCATTATTAAATCGATATCCAAACTTTCCTTGCAATCAGAAGCAGGACACCTTATTGAAACATCGCGGATAACCTCATTGATATTTTCACCTATATAATTCTGTATGCATTCTACACAGTAACGATGATTGCAATTATTTCCCCATATCATTGTGTCTGGCAACGGAAAGACATCTTCACATATTTCACAAAATCTACATGAAGATTCCCCCTTTTCATGGTTAAGTGAATCTAGAATGAAAGAACACTCAATCTCCATAGGTTTTTTACCAACATCATGATTAGATCTCGATTTCAAATCCTTACCAGAATGAAACTGAGCTGAGCAAAATAGAATTGCTTGCAACTCGATATCATCATCTCCGATGTTGTAGTCATTGTTATTTTCAGCCACATCGAAGACAACAGAATTTAGCGACATAGGATCAACTTCGACATTGCTGGAGCTCAAGATTGGCACGTTTGTTGATTCCATTTCAACTTGATTGGAATTCAAGAATTTCAAATCCGTTGAATCCACTTCAACTTGATTGGAATTCACAATTTGCGAATTCGTAGATTCCATTTCAAATTGATTGGAATTCACGATCTGCAAATTTGTTGATTCCATTTCGACATGATTGCCTCCGGCAGATCTTTGAATTTTGTGTCTTCTATAGAGTCTTTTAAAACTTTTTGGCCTTCTTGATGATGAATAAGCTTTGTTCTCTATCTTTGGCTTCGGCTTCAAGAATTTGGATATGATAGAGCGCTTCATTCTGCCGCAAAGGAACCCTAAATTTCTTTTCCATATATATATATATAATATGGGTGATTTTGGTATGACGTGTTAGACAAGTGAAATGGCCAATAACATCATGCCACGTTTGGAAGTGATACAACTTGTCTAGTCAAATCAAACAATAATTAAAAACACGCCTCGTGTACAGCTAACGTGTTTCAACCATTAAACAACGTAAACAAAAATTTGATTGGCAAAAAAATCATCCTTATCCCAAATCATCCCGCTCAGCAAGACAAACAAGTTCAAACCAATCAAATATTATCATGTAAATTTCATCAGTATAAATCGAAAAAAATTTCCCTCATCACAATTGTTCAATCGCAACACAAGTGACATGTTTGATTTTATCAAATATCATCATAACAACAAAAATATGGTTAAAAAAATTATCTTGATAATATAGGTTTCACCCTAGTAGAAGTTGCACGTTCTAGCTAATTAAATATTGTTATGAAAGTTTTAATTTGATTGGTCAAGAGTTTCTCATTTCTTCCATCTTTACACAAGGATATGTTTGAGCCAATCAATATCATCATGTCAACATCAATATGATTGAAAACCATTTGTCCTAGTCACAACTCTTCTAACCTACAACTATAATAAAGATATTCATAATTTAACAAGCTAGAGGATTTCGAGCATTAAATGTTATAAGATCTCTATGAAGATTTAGGATGAAGGAAAACTAAACACCTAGTTATTCAAAATAATTCTAATGAAGACAAGTTTAATGCCAAGATTTTAAAACATCTAAGCCACATAGTTTTGTCCATCAAAGTATTTTTTGCGAATCAAGTTCAAATTCAACACAAATTCAAAACTAAACACAAAAATTATTAAATTTATATTCCAAGAAACAGATCAGAGGACTTCTAGGGACATTAACATCATTTATTCTTAAAGATAATATCATGATTATTATAATATTTATCATTCTTATTATTTACTTCACATGATCTTAATTGTCTACCGGTCATCCCTTTTTTGCCAAGTATAGAAACTATTATACTCTCGTACTTTTTGTAACGATCCGGACTATTGTTATTTGAGAAGAGAAAAATTCCCAAAATATATTTTGGTCACTGTCACGCTGCAACAAAATAGGTGCAATTGGCGTGCCAGCTTACCCCACTAAAGCAGGATCGGCGAGGTAGAGTTCGATATTCAAAAAATCCTTATTTTTTCATTTTTTCAAAAATAACCTATAGGTCATAAATTACCCTAGAAACCCCATAAAAGTTATTTCAAGTTAGTGAAAGAAGGAGAGAGAGATTTGTAGCATAAGGTTGGTGGAATCTTGCGTGATCTTGGTCAAACTCACCGTAGAGTATTTAGAAAAGCTAAAAAAGAAATCAAACTTCGTACAAATTACTTGGCGCCCACCTAGGTTAGGTTTTATGCATTGAGTAGCTGTAAATCTTTTCTTACCATGTAATATATTAATTTTAACTGTATAAGGTATGTGTAGACCTTCATGCACCGAGTAAATTCCGTGAAGAGTTGCTATAATTTAATGTTTGTGTGGTTAGTGTCGTGTTGAGACTATAACCGCTCAAGGTTCTTATTTGTGATCTTGAATGGTTCTTTATTAAGTTATGGTACCTGAAAGAGGGTCGATTTATTTTTACCGAACACCACCGCAGGTAGTCTTGCAAACGCCTGCAACACTTATCCTATCTTACTCCCACAAATTTGACTAAGTATAGAAATACTTTAACAGCAAAGTTAAAAAACAGACAGAATGTTCGTTCCAACCTTTATAATCTTATAATTAGTACAAAGAGAAGGCTTCACGAATTTGTCTAAGTCCAGAAACACACTCTATAGCGTTAAACGAAATTTCCACCCTTATAAAAATTCTGCACATGGCAGTTACATGCGGCAGTTACAATTGACATTTGTACGACACCTGTCATCAGAGGTTTAAAACTAAGTATCCAATAACTATATTTCTAACAGATAGATCTAATTCAAATTACATCCTTATCCATATGAAATATTCATATTCTAACAGTTAGAATATTTCAGGCTACATTGCAACACTTAGAATATTTCAGCCATCTTCCAATACTTAGTTTTATTTCAGCAATTCACATGAAATGCCTTTGTTTTTGCCATCGTCAAGTCTTCACAACTTTTCCTTGTCAAGCCAACACGCTGCCTTGCCGATGACTCTAGACCGCACGTAAGCCTTGCATGTTCAAGTTGTCTTGCCAATACCCAAGCACCTTGAACCTGTGTTGCACTGTTTTGCCCCCTTTCATGTCAAGACCGATGCCCAAGTCCTTGACATGTCTGCACGGAGTTAGATCAAGTAATTTATGGGTATAACAATATCGGTAGGAGGAAGGATTTCAAATTATACTATTTTTGAACGTTGTAGTTATAATTGTGATAAAGAGTTGTAGTTATATTAAATAAAACTAGTAACAAAACTTTACGAAGAACTAGGATTGGAGTTGTATAATTCCATAAGAAGAAATCGAGGGAACCCATACGTAATTAAGCATGTGACTAGGTGATGGTTGTGGCTCTATGGTGGTGTGGTACACTTGTTTTGTTCCATTTTGATACTTGTATATGTATTCATGTTGCAATTATGGTCTTAGATATTAAAACAAGATATGCAAATTATCGATGCTATGCAAGTTTTGCTTAAATGTGTGATCTTTATGTGTGATTGTGATAGACACATGCTGGCATACTAACTTGTATTTGATTGCCACGTTCAGGCATACTAACTGGAATCAGTTGTCACGTTCCATCATAAAGCATGGATCAGATTTCCACGTTCTAGCATGATAACTCGATCGTTTGCCACGTTTTGGCATAAAAACTATATCAATTGCCACTTTCCGGCATGCTAAAAGTTTCACTTGTATCACGTGAGAGGGGCAACTATTTGTGATAAAATGAGCACGGTGAAATATGTTATGCTCAATATCGTGAGGTGTGTATATCTATCTATAAGTTGGGTGTTTTATTTACTTTTTAGTGGAAGCTTAAGGGTGGTAGTGGTACGTGTAGTACACAATGTAGTTCGTATGTTTATGTTATGATCAAATTGAACCTTAAGTGTGCTATTGATCTTGTAATATACAATGTGGTTAGTATGTTTAAGTTATGATCTAATGTAACCTTAAGGGTGGTAATGCCACTTGTAGTATACAATGTGGCTAGTATATTTAAGTTACGTAATGGAACCTTAAAGGTGGTAGTGGTACTTGAAGTATCTAATGTCGCTAGTATAGTTGAGCTATGAACTCATGGAGTCTTAAGTGTGATAGCGGTACCCATTGTATACAAGGTGGTTAGCATATTTAGATTGTTACCTCGTATGAAAAAGATAAGTGGTAATTGGAAGTCAAACTTAGTAGAGTTGTATTTCGAATGGGTGAATTCTTAAACTTCCTTAGCTTGTCTTTGTTTTCGTTGATTCCGCATGTTTTCTAGTTGTTGGGTTATAAGGTTTCTCTTAAAAAGGTTTAGAGTAGGCCTACACGGCCTAGTAGGTTGGGTCGTGACAAATTGGTATCAGAGCTTAGGTTATCGATATCCCCGTACAACAGCAAAATGTGGAGTTGACTCTTGTGAATTGGTGTCTTTACATCCACATCTAATCTACAAGAGTCTAGGAAGCATTATAAGAATTCGTTACATTCATTTACTCCTGTCGTGTGAACTGTTACTCGTGGTATTGGTTAAGTCTAATTAGTATCTCTCGATTCAAATTGGTATCTAAACACTGACATTGTGAATATGAATGAAGGACATCAACAATTTAATTTGAACCGGAAGGTTCCAATTGGTATCTAGCCCTAAGGGCTATAAAGAGTGTGGATAATCTTTAAGGGTTATCTATGGAGGCGAACTAAATAATAAACTCAAATTGCATGTATGTTGTTTATGGTAAACTCTGAACATGTGCTTCCTATTTGTGGTAGCTAATTAGAATGTGTACTTGTTGATCTAATGTAACCTGATTTAGGATACCGTATAGAGTATCTGAAGTCGATACGAGTAGAGATATGGTTGGATTGTTAAAATGGTATACATTTTGTAATGTATAGGTGTATCCTTTGGATGTGTAGGTTTTAGTGTTAAGTTACTTTCAGCTTTAGAACTTGAGCATCGTGTATTCTAGTCGAAGAAACTGACAAGCCTGATGGGATGGAAAAAATGGAGGTCAGAAAAAGATTGGAAAGTGAAAGAGTACCCATAAATTCCTTGTCAAGGTTCTAGTTCTGTCTTAACCGCTGCAGCGGGTTGTTTCTGCTGGTGCGGTGCCGCTACAACAGGATTTTCTGGCTAAAGCGAGACAGAACCTCGCCAATTTTTTTTTGTTTTTCCCTGTTTTCAAATAAGAATCCACACTGGATCCAAACTAATCCCTGCAACTCCTAAACTAGTATTCAGGAATATTAGTAACAAAAATAGATTAAGGATTTAAAAACAGACTCCTTCAGAAAACAAAAAAATAAGCATCCATTTGCTACAAAAAAACTTAGTACTATCAAAGTGAAAAAGTAAAACCAGTTGTTCAAAAGGAAAATATCCATAAGTAAAAGAGAAAAACCCAATCAGTTTTCTCATGATGGGTGGTGTCCATGTCCTTGGGGTACTCTAAGCCGGCCTTGGCCTCGTCAGTATTGAAAATTTTGAGAAGTCCCTCGGTTCTAGCTGGAGATTCTCCTTGATCAGGGCCACGCAAGTGAAGATGGACTTAATAGTCTTCCACGTATGATCCATCAAACAATCCCTCTCCAGGCCCTTAATGATCTCTTGGTGCTGCTGGCGGAGCAACTCCACCTTGAGGGTTGTGCTGGAGGTTACCATAGTGAAGTCAACATACCCACTTCCCATCTTTTTTTGTACCGTACCCAGGTCTATTTCAACCCGTTTACTCGAGAAAGGGTCCTCGTCGTCAATATTTGCAATCGCTCTCCTACTGCTAACCCTGCTCGTC